TATTCAAAAAGCTGTCAAACTACAAGGGCCTTGAAATAGAAATCTCAAAAATGTGGCATATGGGAACATCAACAATCCCTGTTGTAGGTGGAGCCCTAGGACTGGTTGGAAAAGTTTGCAGTAGACTAATTGAAGGGATTCCTAGATGTCCATGCATCAAGGAGATACAAAAAATTGTTCTGACAAGTACAGCCCACACTTTACGAAGGACTTTATCTATGTAATTTAATTTTTTCTCTGGAACATGACATTGCAAAATGATAAAGACATTCTAACCAACAGATCAACTATATTACTGAAGAACTAGAAGGAAAGAATCGTGTCTGCTCATCGACAGGTTTGTTCCTCGCCGAAAGAATACTTCCTTGAAAAGAAAAAAAATATAAACCTCTAGAAAGAGAATTTGTGGGGCATGAAGTCCGTGAAAATCCCACAGGTTATAAGTGCTCACCGTCTGGCTAAGGAAGAGATCGAAAAATAGACACGAAAAAGAAGTTCGAGAAGATTGTTCTCGCTACTGCTCTCGTATTAAACAAATAGTTATAGATAGGTTCAACAACTGTCTGATTTACATTCATTCCCGATCTTTTGAATAGAAATAGACGTCTATCAATTGCTTCCTGGTTTTAATTGGATTTCTGGTTTCTTGTAAATTCTGCTTCAACTCTGTTCTTCTAACATCTCCGCTTAAACGCTGAAATTTATACTCTTATTCAGTTTCCGATCTTTTCTAAAGACTTACCCTTCTCTTTCACGTACAGTAGCCATCTTGCTTCTTAATGACGTCATCGACTTCCTTGGGGTGAATTGATAAAAACAAAATTGGTAATCTCAGATACAAGAGATAGAAACGGCTCCATCAGAGAATAAAACATAATAATAATAATAATAATAATAATAATAATAATAATAATAATAATAATAATAATGTTCTTACGAGTAAAGTCCACACCTTACGATGGGCTTTATCTATGTAAAATATTTTCGTGTTTTTATGTTTTTTTTTAATTGGTCAGTGGAAAATGTCATGATGCCATTTTTAACCTTAGGTCTCTGGACGGGACCCGGAAAAAATGTTTACACGCCAGAAATCAAAGGAAATAAAATAATAATAAAAACTTAAGTTCTATGCTCACAGTTTCTTCTCTCCCTCTTATTTCTTGTGGAACTTTCTTCTGGTTCCATACTTCCTCGTCAACTTTGATCTTCCATAATTTACATTAAACGTCAATCGTTATCTACTGTTTTCTTGATTCACTTCTATGGTTCTCGCTCCCTAATAATGCTTCTCTTTTTTTCTTATTCTTTCACACTCAGTAACCCCTTGTGTCTTAATAGATTTACGGCCGTGCATGGGGTGAAATGATTATTATTATTATTAATAATAATAATTAATGCTATACCAAACATTATTCTCCTGGCGTCCGATCCGGACACGAGTTGCTAAGAAGTATTTGTTCGGGATTGGGGGATTAATATGGGCTACGGTATATATCTTTGTTCATTAACACATATTTGCTTGTGAGGAGACACTTAGTGGCGAATGCACTGTGCATCTCTTTTCACGTGCAGTAGTAATAGTCGAGCAACATCAGGATCGGACATCGAGCAGGTTTATTTTGTAAGTTAGAAGGATGAAGTAGCCGCGGCAACTCATTAGACAGATGGAGATCTTTTTCAAAATCCTCAGTGGGAAATAGGCTTGAGAAAATTGGCTACCCGATTGGAAGTTCATTCAAAATGCAGCCTACTTTTGAAAACCGGTTACAATATCGCACATATTTACCATTGACAGCCTGGGTACTATGATGATTATATTGGGCTTCGATTTGTTGGCCTACTACCAACCCATACAACAACAACAACAATAATAATAATAATAATAATAATAATAATAATAATTTGTTGACCATAAGTGGGACTATAGTGTATTTTATCAGCAGCATAACAATGCATATTTTTAAAATGTAGTTATTGAATATTAGAGATAAGATGCAAACAAGCGCATATGTCATTAAACACCCTTTCTTTATATATATATATATTCAGTTGTATCGTTGTGGATTTGTAACCCTGGGTTTCATGCTTTTGCGATCATCAGACAAGTTCTGGTTACAAACTCATATTCATACAACTGAATATGTTATCTCTATGACAGATATTAAGCATTTTCCACTAAGTACCGCGCATATATATATATATATATATATATATATATATATATATATACACACATATATACATATGTATATACATATATATATATATATATATATATATATATATATATATATATATATATACATACATATATATATATATATATATATATACATACACACACACACACACATATATATATATATATATATATATATATATATATATATATATATATATATATATATATATAAACATTTGCTATATGAATTCTTAATCATTTAACCCGAATGAGGACTGATTTTCTGATCGAATCCTTTCTAAAAGATGTTCTAGGAGAAACGCCATAACGCATAACATGAATATTTTTCGCATCCCACGCACGAAAAGATAAATAAATAAATAAATAAAATTGTCCATTTCTAACTAAAAGTTGTAATCAAATAATTTCCACACGTGCCTGCTTATATATATATATATATATATATATATATATATATATATATATATATATATATATATATTGGCAACAATCCCTCTTTTATACATGTTTCATTAAAGACGACTGATAAGTTACTGCGATTAATCTTTTTTATTTAATTTTTACTCTGTTTGTATAGGTATTTTCTTTTCTGTAAATAAAGTGAATAAAAAGTTTCTAAATGTTCTGCATGTCCCAGCGCTTTCGCCAATTTTTTAGTCATTTTCAAGGATGATTTTTTTAACTGAATAGATTTTTTATGTATTTATCTAGAGTAATAGAGATGCTTTTATTTATTTGTCTTGCAAACACTGTCAACACATTGTGACGGTATTCGTATTTTTATGTTACTGAGTATTGGCTTTTCCTTTTTTTATATACAGTGCTTGTATTATGTTTAATCCTTTTTGCATATGGATAACGCTACTATATTTGTATTTTACGTGACTGTTTAAATGAATCCTAATTGAGCTATGGACAGAGAGGTGAAACGAGAATTTTCTACATTGGCATGTAGTGGTATATCCTATATATTTATTTCGTAAATATATATATGAGAGCCGATAGCTTAAGGGAAAAATATCCATATCAGTCGGGTTTCGATTCTGGCTTGAGGCAATCGGATGTCTAGACACACTGATTAGCTGTGATACAGCGAAACAGTGTTGTGTTTGTGTGTGGGTTAGGGTTAACCCTACAAATTAAATGTTAAAATGAGAAATATATTTACTAAAATTAAATTAGTTTGGCATAAATGCCAAAGTCAAATGGAAAAGTGTCTAAGTCTTAAAAGTAAGCCGAGTTGATCTACCTTGAAAATCACCAGTCTTGTATATTACTTGATTATTTTGATTTTCGGCGTAACGTAAGGGCTGGCTAGGCTACTCTGATTTACTATTACTACAAATTGATGAGTTCGATCCTCACTGGGTGTCTCATATAAAATTCGACTTGAATCAACCAAAGTTCAATATGCCGTGGAATCGATCGACTAGCGAACACATTGGGAAATAAGAGATTATTTCAGCTACCAAACAATATATACAAAGACGTTAAGAATATGTTTGATTAATGTTAAGCCTGACCTTAAGACACCTCCAGGTTATTCGAATATTATCGAAATGATACTGTCTGTATGATGTTCAGCGAAGACTACGAAACAATATTAAAACACATTAAAGGATATTGCACGTGCTAAGAATAATACAAAAGATATACATTAGCCGGCGGATTAATAATGTTACAGAACACGACATATATAATCAATTATGAATGCGGTTGAAAAATGAAACACTTCGAAGGCGTCAGACTGAAAACTAACTTATAAATATTAATAAGCAGGCGTTCAATTCGAAGACATGAAAAGTGGGCATATTTGGAAGGAAATATAGACGTGTCAGGACAATGAGAAATTGAACTTAGCTTCAGTCGTAAGCATAGACTAACTGGCGGTGACAGGTTAATATGGATAGATAAATAAATGACACTGAAAGGCTAAAATAGATGACGGATATGCAATGTGGTTGATCCTAGTCTGGTGTCTCGTCTACAGTCATTTTCTCAGAGACGTGCCGTCACTTCCCCCTGTACTACAAGTACTTTCACGGTAACGTCTCCGTCGAGCTATTTTCGCTGGTTCCCAAACGACATGAATTTAAGCTTGTTACTAGGTTGGCATCTCAATCCAACCCTTTCACTGTCGAAATGGTTAAATGTAGCCGTCTCTTATACTCCAATAGTTTAATGTCTTGCACTTCCCGTTTGTGGAACTCCCTTCCTCTTACTTGCTTCCCTGATAGCTATAATCTTCAAATATTCAAATGTAATGTCAATCGACATCTTCTGATACCTTGATCCAATTCCTCGTCCTTCTGTATATCCTTTCTTCAATCACGTCTCTTTACACTTGCACCCACTCTCTATAACCATTTGCGTGCTAGTGGCTCTCCGCTCTTGTGGTGAAATGCTTAAAAAAATAGATAGATAAATGAGTGAAGTAGGAATACATATTAAAATAGCTTGCGAGTTTCACAAAATTATAAAATATATGATTAAGGACTTTATACTTTCTTCCAAAGATATTAACAGAAGGAACAAATAAATTAATCGGATGATATCGTTTTTTACGGTTTATCAACCCTTTCCATGTTATTTACGGAAAATATTTTTAGATTGTAAGAATATTTTTTGAGATAATAATGATTTCGGGATACTGGGCTTACTAATTAACCCGTAGCTTGAGGGAAGATGTGGGTTTTTAAATTACCCCATCGAATATAACGAACCCAGACGAAAATGAACTCGGCTCCCCGATTAACAATTCCGAACCATTTTTCATAAAACCACCTACGCATCATAGCTTACAGCGCCCACTGATTCCCAAGCGGCTACCCATCTAAGTACTGACAAGCTCGAAGTTGCTTAACTTCTGTGATTGTATGAAATCGGATTTTTGAGCATGATATAGCCGTAAGCGTAGTCAAATAAAAATTCAAGAGTTCGAATCAATCCAAAAACCATTATTATTAAAGACATTGATTACACAATGAAAACATTTGGTAACAAAAGTATTAACCAAAATTTAAGAGAAAAATCTGTTCAATAGAAAAAACTGTATTTAGTAGAGAATACCTTCAGTGAAAGTTTAGAAAGGACAGAGAGGATTGATATTAATGTGTTTGTTTTTGTAAATAACGTTTAATTTTCTAATATAAACGTCATTCACCAATTAACGTAGATGTTATCTGAAAATAACGTCTAAATTTTATTGTAAAATCCAAAAGAAACCAAAAGAAAATGTAGGGATAACAGAAGGTTCTTGAAAACAGAGAAGCTACACCAGGCAAACATCATAAAGTAGTAGAATATATGCCACCAGTACCGCTCTATGAAAACACATATGGTGACTCAAAAACCAAACCAAAAACACACCCAAAATAACATGGCGAATAGGAAAGATGACGTCAGCTTAGAGCAACACATCAAAACAACATTACACAGAGACAAAAAATATAACTAAGTACCTATTACTAGTTCTTTCTGCGCAACCTACAACCGTCAACAGTGTAAACATGGCCGCTCCGCTGGCAGTGTGCACCAAGGAGGAACAAACAGCAGAAATCTGCAGGGAATATTCAATTATAAAAGTAGAATAATATAGCTCTCAAGAAAATTAAATTTCGGCATTAAATATCCAATAAAGAGTTGATATGCCGTTAAACAAACAAATCAAATCAGAGATCAGTACCATTATATACATGTGTACAAGCCGAGAGAGTCGATGTTTGGTTTATAATAAAAAAAGCATTTACATATTTGTCTATTTCATAATATATAATATCATTCGGCTACGTTTACTTAAATATTTGTATAGTTAAAAATAACGTATAAACAGAAAACATATTTATATGTATATGTGTGTGTGTGTGAATGTGTGTGTCTATAAGAACTATAATAAAATAAGCAAACGTCCATTGATATAAATAACTATAGTCTCTAACCCAGATATTCTCAAATCTCTAACCCTGATATTCTCAAAAGATCACCAGCGCAGATATTTAAAAAAAATGGACACACTATGGCACATAACTAATACATATTTCCGTTCTACGTTTCTGACATCAGATTCAGATAATATATATATATATATATATATATATATATATATATATATATATATATATATATATATAAAAGGCTCAAACGCTAATATTCTATAGTTATAATTATTATTTTTATCCTCCTGGAAATTTATATATATATATATATATATATATATATATATAAACACTAATGTTATCTATCTATCTATCTATCTATCTATCTATCTATCTATATATATATATATATATATATATATATATATATATATATATATATATATATATATGCCATTATATACATGTGTACAACCAGGAGAGTCGATGTTTGGTTTATATTATTCCCAAGTTAAAAGTATGTCCCTGTTATATTTGTAAAATATCTAATGATGCTTTCTCTCCATTTTTTTTAATGAGATAAAATAGAAAAAAAGGTCTGTTTTCTGAAAGGTTCCAAAAATAAAGGTTTTAATCTTCGTTGTACAATCTATTGTAGATTAGAATACTTGTAGCAAGATAACCACAGAGAAATTGTTGAGTGACGAATACGTTCATCTTCCGTGTCTGTTGTGAGTTGATGTCCTGAATCACTGTTAGGCTTTCTCAGGAGATGCAGAACTTTGTACGAGATTAGTGTGAAATATTTTGCGAAGAGGGCCTTTGTCGCATGTGTGCACGAATGTAAGCATTTTATTTTCCTGCTGTTTGCCGAAGTGGTTTAATTTCTGTTGCCTCCTTACTCGTATTTTAGACTTGTATTTAGTTCGTTGTCAGTGTAATTGAACTAGCTTTTAACAGAACGAAACTTCGAGTTCAATTTTTGACTGACGCAGGACACAACAGTCTTCATGTGTAAAGATAGTTGGACGGACTGGACAACCAATTTAAGAGAAGGAAGTTTGAATTCTACACAGGAAAGAAAACTAAGTAGAATGAAAGTGACACTTATGTGAAAAAAAATCTTTGTAAAGGCATGAATCCATCTCTTCTTCTCCTAGGTATGGGTTAAATAGTATGGAAAACTAAGCTCTTTAGCCTTGGTTGGTAACTATTCTAGGAGAAAGAAAAATCTGAATTCATATGCTGAGAAGGGTCGTTTGGAGAACTTGTGGTACACTAAGTGATCCAGTCTTCACTAATCGTTTTTTTGTCTTATTTTATGTGGCGTGTTCTTTTCAGAACGTAGGCGATTATAGCCCTCCACATCTTCCTGTTTCTTTTAGCCATTAATAAGTTTCTTTTTGTTATTTCCCCTAAACCCTGTTCTACCATCCATTTATTCAAGATCATCAAGTTTGTTACTCGCTGCATTCCTCTGCGCCTCTTTTCCTCAATCGGTCCTGGGAGTATCATATTTTTCAAGCCTTCTTTCCTCATTATCTGCCTCAGAAATTTCAATTGCCTCACCTCGATGTTAAATATGTGTTTTACTTTTTGTTTTCATTTTCTATAAATTCTCGTTGCTCACATGTTCAGTCCAGAATATCCCCAGCATCTTTCTGTAGAGCCACATTACTGTTGCTTCATTTCTCTTCTTCATTGTCTAGAATTCACTGTCATATAGATGTGCGAGTAAACTGCCTGATTGATTCTAAAATTGACCTGCGGAATCTTCAAACATCTAGAGAGTTTAATATATATATATATATATATATATATATATATATATAAAAGTGAACACTGAAATCAACTCTCAGAGGCAACAGGCTGTTTCATGCTAGACGCAATCGTCAGGCCGATATATATATATATATATATATATATATATATATATATATATATATATATATATATAATATATATATATACTTTAATATATATATATACTTTAATATATATCTATATCTATATCTATATATATATATATATATATATATATATACTTTAATATATATATTATATATATATTTATATATATAGTTTTATCCCTATTTGGTGAGGGCGGAGGATTGGCCGCTGATCCCCCCCCCCACTAGGTCGATGCTTGGACTTAAGGTAAGCCGTACTTGTTATCATGAGGAAGAAAGCGGACAAACACTTGCTGCCCTGTGTGAGTATAATTTCGCTCTACCGAAAACTCATTTTAATTTTTTTTCTATTTTCTTTAATTCTTTTTTTTTTTTTAATCTTTACATTTTATTTTATTTTATTTTTATTTTTTTCTTCTACCCCTACTCGTCAGTGTGCTTGACCATAGTAACACATTTTTGTCCTAAGCATTCTAACCTATTTGATGGTTAAGTTAGAAATCCCGGTTCGAAAGAATAATCAGAAACAAAGGGAAAATTGAATGTCTTTGGCAAGATGCGAAAGTGTATACATATATTTAATATATATGATATGCATATATATATATATATATATATATATATATATATATATATATATATATATATAATTATTTATTTAAAAATATGATTCCAAATCGCTACATAAGAGGTCTCATGTTTCAAAACAAGAGCCAAAAACTTCAATATAATCCTTTAAATTAAATTGAGTTGAAAGTAAAATGGGCTCCGTTCCATCTTCAAGCGAAATTTTTGTTGAAAAAAAAAAATTTCGCTTGAAGAAAAAATTTACTTTCAACTCAATTTAATTTAAAGGATTATATTGAAGTTTTCAGCTTTGTTTTGAAACATGAGACCTCTTATGTAAATTTGGAATCATTTTTTTTAAATAAATAATTATATTTATGCTCTACTTTTGTATCGAGCACTATTTTTTAAAAATAATAACTAAAATACTAAGGGACTTTTGGATTATTTACCTAACCAGTTCCTTCCTATTTTCTATATATTTTCACATATATATATATATATATATATATATATATATATATATATATATATATTCATTACGGTACTATATATATATATATATATATATATATATATATATATTACAGGTAATAAATGCATAAATACAAAAGTACCTCATCGAATCGAATAAATTCTGTATCAATTTTTCAACGTGTGCCAAAGTTAAATTTCTAATTTCGACAGGAACTCAGTCTATACACAGGGGTTGAAAAATACTGGCGTAGTTTTCGTCGGTTGAAATAGATCTATCTGCCCCTTATATATATATATAAATTCAAATTCAAATTACGTACAACTCTTCTCAGACAAACAGAAAACATCGTCTGAAAGTTTACGAAGTTAATTTCCGATGAAAAGTGCAGGAAAATATTGTCGAATCTTTCGACTTTCTTCAGTCATCCCAGTTTCGGTAGAGAAAATTGATGAGTTTCGTAGAAAAAGGCAAAGAGTGTTGCGATGTAAGCCTGATCTAATGTATCTTTTTCTATATATACATTTGAGGAGTTTGTCTCTTAAGTTATAATTGTTTTGATTTAGTGATGATTATTTTTGTTGTATGAACATTGCTACCGAAATGAACTTTGGACAGTTTCTGATGGAATCTCCTGCTTGTCTGGGAAAAATTATTTGTAATTTGGATAAGTCGATCATTAAAAGTAATCGACACAAAAATATCTCTTGTCTTTAATAATATTTGATTAAATAACATTTGCTGCCTACACGGAATAAGTAATAAAGATGAAAACCTTAAAGATTCATTTCGGTTATAATTTATTTCCTGAATATTTATATATTCATCTCTTCACATCGAAATCTTTTTTAGTAAATGGACAGAATTCCTCGGGATGATATATTAGATAGACAGGGTGAAGGAAAAGCAAGGGAGGAAAGAAGAAAGAAGGAGAGGAAGAATAAAATTGACGGATGGTCTACTTCTTTTTAAAAAAGGGAAATAGAATGAAGGTAAGGAAAGCAAAAGGAAGAAGGAAGAGATGAACGGATATCAGTAAGCTTAAAATAGATTAAACCGGCCAAGAATTTTATCCTTGAAGTGT